CGCATCTGGGTAGAACCACCGACCTTCCGTAAGCCAGCTGGATGGCTTCCTCACATGAAAGATTTCGACCCGAATGAGCATCGAACTTACAGAGGTGAGGGACCTGTGATCTTAAGTGAGCGACCTTAACCATGTTGACAAATGCTTAAATTGATCCGGATTTATTTAGGGAGTAGGAGAAGATGGCACACACAATTAGGTTCGCCCGTGACATAGACAAAAGTGTAGCTGTGGTATTGTTGGATGAATAAAATGTTCCCATCAACAACAGAGGAAACTCTTTATTTGATAGATTATATTAAATGGGTGGATACAATCGGCGATCCAACGGATAGACTAGGGGATCATATAGATATGTACATTAGAAATTCAGAATTTAGATTATATACGAACAACATATTATCAGAGGGAATAGAATGGATCTACAGAAGGCTCATATAGATATTCAACAGAGGGTATACTTTCAAAAATGTTAGGGTTGATCGTATGTACTATAGTATGTACTAGAAAATTAGGTAATTTTTTGTAAATCGATTTGCTCCCCACTTATATGCGTGAAAGTACATTCTCTGATACACATCTATACGACCTTTATGTGTCGGTATAGTTTAACATGTTTGATAGTATATACTTGAAGTTTATCTATATAAAATATCCCCTTAAAAATCATTCGACTTCCTCTTTTATGTTTGATAATATAGTCTTTGTATGAACCCTAGTACAACATTCCATCCATCCTAATGGTTTTGATAGTATATCTATTAGCCCCTAGCAAATTTGTTTAACTCATTTTTATGTTTTAATGACACATTTATGTTTAAATGACACATTTGTTGTTTTTTTTACACTAAAAGGGATGAAAGTACACAGTACAGAGTTTCAAAAGAAATTATGGACATTGTTTTCTTTTTGCGAAAGAACTTAAAGTTATTAAATCGGGTTTGTGTTGTTGTTGTGTTTTTATATTTAATTGTTTTCCCTCTCCTTTTTTATGTACAAATGACATTTAGCCAGGACAAAACGTCTATAAAGTAGAAACTAATCAGATTTACGAGTTTAATATCGGGCTGCTTTATTTAAAACTTATGTCATTGTTTATTATTTATTTACACTTTATGGTTATAATAGAAATTTTAAAAAAGTGATCATTGACTATTTATTTTTAAAGTGCTTTTGAGTACATAAGAAATGCCTGTTCACTAAGTAAGTAGTATATCTTTTTTTTTAAACTGCGATGAACGTGTGAAGCTATTTGAATACTTCTGTCTCCCCTGAACAAACATGAACTAAAGAAATTGAAAATATACCTTATTTGGTTACAAGATATTTATGATAGTAAAATTCAATGCAAAGTATTGATAACCAAGATGCATGTATTTTTTACAACTCTCTATCATACAAAGTCTGTTATGTAAATGTAACAAACACTTTTCCACATACTTACATCTCTTATGATTTAAATACATTTATGGAATAACGTTATTTGTTAAGTGTAATATGATAGATACAGGCATAAATAGCCATTAATTGCCATGGAAAATTGTTTTATTAAAGTACAGAATTTCAGATATAATGTGGTAAAACATGCAAGAAAAACTGTCTGACATATGTTTGCGGTTTAGATCGGAATATCTGTCCCCCGCAAACATGTGGCAGATATAATTAGTCTCACAGGTTGATGCATTTTAATATCTGAATAAACACCAAACTTGCATTTCATTGAACATTCCATGATCATTGTCGATGTACAACGGTAGCTTACATTTATCACTTCTGTCCACTCATTCTACAATATTTCTAATTCTGCCGTTGTGTGTGTTTTTTGACGGGGTCGTCTTTTAATGTTTTTACAATATTTGAAATATATTATCATTGCAAATATATGCTAATCACGTGAAGAAAGTAGCGTTGTATATGAAATAAATAACATGTCAGAAAAGTAGGAAAACGTGCACCAAGTGTTATCTTGTCTTTGATAGAATAAACACTTTAATTGTACAAACAACTAGAAATGTGTCCATAGGACACGGGTGCCCCCACCGCGCCACTGTTCTGTCAATCTTTTTACTAAGTCAAGGGAAATAACTCTACAAATACTGGATAAATTTACAAGCGAAACCCCAGGTGCAAATCTAAAATATGCTAAGCAACCTGCCCATAAGGTTTAATGACTATGTCAAATCCTTTTTGAGAAACTTGCGACTTAAAGTGAAAATTGCCAAATTTTACTAACTCAAGGGCAATAACTCTGAAAATACTAAAAATATCCAGATGAAAATACCCAGGTGCACAACTACACATGCTGATCAACATTCCTGTAAAGTTACATGACTCTAGGTCAAATACTTTTTGAGTTACGTGCGACACATGTTGAAAATTGCCAAATTTTACTAACTCAAGGGCAATAACTCTGAAAACACTAAAAATATCCAGACGAAAATACCCAGGTGCACAACTATACATGCTGATCAACATTCCTGTAAAGTTACATGACTCTAGGTCAAATACTTTTTGAGTTACGTGCGACACATGTTGAACATTGCCAAATTTTATTATTTCAAGGGCAATAACTCTGAAAATACTAAAAATACCCAGACGAAAATACCCAGGTGCACAAATACACATGCTGATCAACATTCCTGTAAAGTTTCATGACTCTAGGTCAAATACTTTTTGAGTTACGTGCGACACAAGTTGAAAATTGCAAAATTTTACTAAGTCAAGGGCAATAACTCTGAAAATACAAAAAATATCCAGACGAAAATATTTAGGTGCACAACAACACATGCTGATCAACATTCCTGTAAGTTTCATGACTCTAGGTCAAATACTTTTTGAGTTACGTGCGACACAAAAGTGAACGGATGGAAGGACGGACGGATGGACGGACGGACGGACGGACAGACGGACGGACGGACAAGGGTAAATCTAAATGCCCGCCACTAACGTGGGGGCACAAAAATGTTTAACGAAGTAAGTCTTTTGAGTAATTTATGATAGTCTCTTTCTTTCTCAATTTTCAAGTAGCAGCAACAAATGTACCAGATACAAATACGATTGTTTATTCTTGATTCTTACAAAATTGGCAGAATAAAAAGTAGGCTTGATTGATTATGATCTTTACTCATCAATGACCTTGACCTTGAAGGTCAAATTATTGAAAATGCGTTGGTATTTGGAAACAATGCCTAGAACATACTAAAGTATAAGAATATAGAATTTTTCATATGAATTGCATACATCAGTTTTTTTTTTCAAAAATCATAGCAATGGTGCAGTAACTTGTGTCACACTTCATGATTTCCCTTTACTCTAGATTATCATATAAAAATTGTGTATTTTATAAAAATTTTGTATTTTGATTTTCGTCTAAAGACACACTTTATTTGCCCTTTATGAAACAATCACACTTAATGTAGACAGGTTTCGCTACTACAATATCGATGTGTTTTTAGGTAATAAATACAAATGTCAATTATTCCATCTCCAAAATGTAGTTTATGTTCATTAAAATGTTTTTTGAACATTTATAGCTCATTAATTTTACTGAGCATCAATTTTCATAGATAAACAATAATTTAACTTTTTTGGGGGGTCGATGCGAGTTGATGCTGATTTGACTTACTTGCATGAATGGACAAATTCTAGCACAGTTGTCCGGTCACAATAGCCGCATGATTAGCAGGTGTTCGTTGTGTCGGAGTATAGAGTGGTTCCTTAGAGCCCTCCTGTTACACTTTCAATAAGAATGCGTTATAGATTTCATTATAATGGCATGCTTTTATACACGCCTTTAACAAAAGTACACAAATGAAAACGCGGTCTGACAAAGTATAATATGCCTTTGATATTCAGGAACAGAAATCGAGGCTTGTTGCTTTGTCGTGTGGGGGTTGCGTTCATTGAACGTCGCCTTTCCTTGTTGATCTTGTTAATCATATTTTAATTTAGAAGATGGGATCAAATAAATGTATATTTATAGTGAACATCATTAAGTTAATATACTGGAAGTTCAGAGGTTACTTTTAAAAAGGTGTGACATAAACAGAGATACGCGGTGGCTAAAAACTTGAATATATTACATGAAAAAACAGGATATGTCAGGATATACATTACATTGTATAAACGGTTTTATTTAATAGATTTGCTTATTATAATTATCTACTATGAGAGTGTGTATTATTTGAAAACATGACGACAGCTGTTGTCACATGCACTTTTCACTTGTTTTACTTATTGTGTCTTCTAATGTCGAAAAAATTGGACTATTTCCAAAAATATAAAACTGACACTTTCCATTTAGTGTTGAATTAAGAATGCATTAGTGAAATGAAATAATATTTATAGCCGCCTATTTTTCGAGCGTGTTTGATTACATATGTATATCAATTTGTATAACAAGTGTTAGATCACAAGTCTACTTACCACTCAACATAATTGATATAAATGAATCGAATACAGTAAAAGAAATTGAAATGATAGGTCAATTATCAATAAAATAGCGAAAAACGGAATTCCTTAAAATACTCCTAAAGCAACAAAATTTAAAATGTTGCAGGCTCGGTTTGTTTGAGCTGTTCATGGAGGGTAACGGAAAGTGCAAGTACCGTCTACAACCCCTAGCTAGTTTACATAAGTGATTGGTTGCCGAACGCTTTTGATTGGAGACCAGTCTGATTTCGTAACTAGTAGCTCGTTGGCGAGTCGGAGACAGGGCGGCGTTCAATTGATGATTCTATATTTCATTGGTCTTAATTGTTGCCGGATGATTTTGATGAAATGTCTAATCGATCAACATTCTGCACTACCTTTGGCCGCATACTGTACAGAAAACCAGATAATCAAGCATATCAACAGATTAAAACAGTGAGCAACTTTAGAATGAAATGACGGATTGTGTACCAACAGGCTGACTAACTGGTCCATTATGTTCCAAGTACATGTATTAAATTTTGTATATTTTGATATTTTATGATTAATAAAACGATTTGACGAAGTCATCCAGTTTGATTACAATTTTATTTGTGATGTTATTTAAAACTGTATCATCAAAAGTAGTACACGAGGGCAATTCGATAACATTCGGCAATGTATGTTTTATGGTGTTAACTATTAATGTTTTGATATTTGACCCTAATTCAAAAGTATTGTTTTATGTATTGTGAAAAATTCTATTGAATCGTTTTACCTATAATATGTCTACCATAAAATTCCACGAATCTGTCGAACAGACTTCGTATATAAATGTCAAATGATAACGAATGATTGTCTATAAAAGGCTTTTAAACTGTTTTTGAAGTACACAGTGACTCATTTTACAAAATGGTTATAAAAATGATATCCGCTTTCTCTTTCACACACTTGTTTAAGATACTTAACTTACAAAATAAATCGGTTCGTTCAATTAATAAGTTATTATCTCAAAGTAATAAATTTTACACAGTGATTTCGCAAATGAAATTGTTTTCATAATTGCAAGCAATGTCATGCATCTGTCCATTAGCATTGTCCATGCATAAACACAACTTTGTGATTCCATTGTCCGGCTCCCCACTGGCCCACTTGAAGAATTTGATTTCAGATCCGTCCTCAAGAAGCCACGGAGAATGTATGCTTTTTCGATGACCACCGATGGAGATAAACGAGTTAAACATATTGAAACCAGTGTTAATAATGTCTTCGAATTTCAACTTAGAGTCAATGCGAACCAAATATCCACCTTCTACCTTGCATTGCTTTTCTGCTTCAGAATGTGATATCTTGGATAGATGTTTTTTGATGCAATATCCGAGCTTCGTCGTTTGATACGAATCAGGGCATCGGTTTCTGCACAAGCTTAATTCTGTCTCATTGCTACACTTTCTGGACCGCTGTTTTATACCAAAATACCGGGAAATATTCGCTGAACAAATTGACCATCTTGTCCATTCATTACAAGGATCGGAGTTATGAATGTTTTTCATGGCAAGTCCTACTGCTTGTAGCTTTTCATCATTTGTTTTTATTCCTAAATCAATCAGATATTGTGCGTTAACGTCCGAGGGAGCCAAGTTGTTAATGTCATTTCCATCAACAGTCGTCAGGCATGAAACTACGATGGCAAGATAGAAAGCAAATTTCACAAGTATCATAGTTTCAAATAAACTTCTGACTTATTATCGGTTATAGTAATAAATTGTATATATATACTGAAATAGGTTTAAACACTTTTCACACTGTAAACACCTTTTTAAGTTTGACGGTGTGGAAATTGAATATAGTCATTAAGACTTAAGGCAAATGAAATTTGTGATTTGTTTAATATGTCATCGTGGTAAAAACAACAAAAAATGCTATTTCGAATTTTGTTTAAATTAAAGTAAACGATTTTATAATATTCAAGGTAATGCACCATCCAGAACAGAAGAGTGAAATATAAGAAGACGCAAAAACCACAATCATATCGCTTTTAATATCAACAAATTCGGTACTAAGCTAAACTACACATTGAAACACAACAAAAATTAAAACATCATTGCTGCATCGAAAATTTATCGTTATACGCTCTTTTTTTGCTAGTCAGAGTATCTCATGATCTAGACTAAACAATTTGATTTTTCATTAAAAAGAATGTCATAATAAAAGTTATAAAAAAGAATCTTTATATTCCCGTTAAAAATATAGCATACTCGTAGAAAAATAAACCTTGACTCTTTGCACGGGTTCCCTATGATATTACAACAATACATTGTGTCGATTAAAGTTGTACTATTTCCAAGAAAATATCAAACTCACACTTTCCAGTCAGTGCTGATGTTTTGAATGCATACGTGAAATGGAATAGTGTATAATATTTATAGCCGCCTACTTTTCGAGCTCTTTCAATTACACAAATATATCATTTTACATAAAGTGCTTGTTCATTAGTCTTTTAGTTATTTACATTACCCGATATATTCATTTTCCGAGTTGCACAGAAATTGAATTGTTTATTACAGTCTCATGTTAAAAAGGTGCTTAGAATATCTATTTTCTTTTAAGCTGTTACCTTTTTAACACAAGAAGGCTAAGATATATGAAAATTCCAAACATAAATGATACTATGAGTGGGCATAATACATCAACATTCATAATTTCATTCCCCGTGTACAGGTTATTTTTAGAGTTTTATTTATGTGTACAAAGGAAAAGGGATGACTTTAGAAAATAAAAAATATATTTAAATTCATATAAGCGTTTGAGCTGCCATAATGCATGTTATGTACGATCTTTTTTTTATTTAGGAATAGCAATCAGTACATCAATTTTAAGTTCTATTTTTTTACAACCTATATACAAAGTTAAGATTAATCTTTTTCACGGTTTTAAGTAATAACCGTTTCATTTTTTTCTTCTCTAATGTCTATGTCATGTACAGATTTGTAAGATAGGTTATTTAGACCCCCTGAATTGACCTAAAAAAAGCATGTGCTAAGTAATTAGATATACAATGGATATATATTTTTTGGTTTTATAATGGTACAAAGGTTGTACATTTTAGTTTTATTTCGATTTCAGCGGCAATTCAACACAGAGGTGTCATACATGTATGTACATGAGGGAAATCTGTAAAAAGAATGAACACAGAATAAATGAAGAATATTATTAAAGTATAAAATCAAACATTTGAGAACGGTGCTGATGACGTATGAATGAATTGTTGTTATAAGCTTTGCACATTTCAAAAAATTACATTCATTTATTATGTAAAAGGGAAGACAAACACATTCTAAAGATAAGGTTTTTATCTGCAATTAAAAAAAAATAGAATTTTCAGTGTTTATATTATTATTTTGCTGAAAAGAATTAACGAACATGCTTGGCGTATACACTATAGCTTCTATGTTAGCAGGTTTATTTACACAATAGCTGTTCACTTGATGTTTATTCTGTTGAATAACATTTCATTTAATCACCTGTTTCAGTGATTTCACAGAGGAAATGAAACTTCTGAGGACACGATGAATCATGCATAGTCTTTGATGTCTTCTCTAAGTACAAACATGGCTCTACATGCGGTTCGGATGGTGCCCACCTGAAAAAGGTAATCCTTGAGTCGTCGTTGAACTTCCAGTCCGAGCTATTGCTAATCCGCTGTCCGCCGATGTGTATTTAATTAGCCGCATTGTTTGGAAAATTCATTTCCACAATCGCATCATATTTTGCCTGTGAGTTGATATGAATCAAGTGTCCACCCTCTAACTTGCAGTAGTTTTCTGCTTCAGAATGAAATTTTTCAATGGTGTATAATTTTATACAAAATCCATTTGCTGTTGTTTTATAGTCAGACGGACATCGATTCCTACATAAGCGTAAGTCTGTTTCATTTTCCAATGATGTGTTGTCACTTTTCCTGGTACGCTGTTTTATTCCAAAATAACGAAAAATGTTTGAAGTACACTTTGACCAGGTCGACCAACCACCACAAGTTTGCTGATGGAGATTTTTCATGGCTATTCCAACAGCCTCTAATTTTGCATCGTTTGTTTTCACTCCTACATCAATTAAATATTGAGCGTTAATGTCTGATGGAGCAGTGTTGTTAACATCATATCCTTTAGCATTTGTCACACAAATTATGATGACGGTAAATTGAAAAAGGTGCATAGTATCTGTTTTCATCTAAACCTAATGAAATATAAATATATTTTCCTTTGCACTGTTGAGTCCAAAAGATCAGGTATGCGTATGATTTCTTTTGCACATACAACTGTATAAATATTTATTTTACTCGCATCTACAACCATGCTTGAAGTTAAGGCGCTTCAAAATACAATCGATGCATTGTGTCAATTTTTGAAATATATTTATAAGAAAAACCGGTTAACAAGATTCGTTCGACACTGTTCTAAGAACACATCATTGAACTAATATATTTCACGCACACACACACACGCACTCGCACAGATGTTCAATGTAAGTTCTAATCAGTTAAAAGGGGCAGCATGTAGCAAGATGCAACTCTTAGACCGCTTATCAAAAACAGTCGCGTGTAACAAAAGGTTATTTAACCATGTACGGTTTACAGATCACGTGCATCTGTAAAAAAGTAAATAAATAAAATAAATAAATAAATAGATAAAGTAAAATAAATAATTACAAAACACACAACAGAACGTGTGATCCCCCATGTCTCAGAGCATTCCAATGTCCTGCGAGCAACAAGCAAAATCCATAGCAAAATTTGACGAAGTAAAACAATGAAGAATAACTTATAAAATGTAAGGAATAAGAATCACACATTAGCGAAATTTTGTAACAGCTAAACTTGTGAGCTTAAACTGAGTAAAGGCATACCACTACTCTGTATTCAGTTAACCCCTAGAAATAGTGATATTTACGGTTTTCAATGTTTCAAAAAGTGATCCCTTTTAAAAATAAATCTGCACACAAATCTGCTATAACATCTTTATGTGATTTTTTACTTAAATGCAACTACAAGAATCAATCAAAAATTTATATATATTACAGAGGATATTGAATGAGTGTAGGTTTAATACTACATTTATTGAACGAGTTGAAAAAAAATCATATTATGCGAGCCTCTGACGAGCATAATATTGTTTTATTCAACGAGTTCAATAAATTTAGTATTGAGTCGACACGAATATAATATTCTATTTATTACATGTATAAAATAAGAGCGGTAAACTGTTATCAAGAGTCATTTTTCTTTGACGCGCTTATAGCGTAACGCTAACATTAGCGCGCTTTAACGCTATGTTTATAGCGCAAATGACGTGACGTCAAAGTGTTATTACACTAGGGTAATATCGTCTAGTGTAATATCGTTTTTATTAAATGGCTTTATTACACTCCTGCGCCGCACAGACGCTTGGGGTTTGGAGCTCAAAACGCCTTTAAAATCCAAATAAAATGCATATTTGTCAATCCCAGGACATGTACTGATCATATATATCAAAAAATCTTAATATATGCCGTTTTGAAAAAAAATCATATTTCAACATCTATAATAATACACAAGATAAAAATGTTCGCCGGAAAAAATCCGCACCCCTACCGTCATAATCACCATGTATTTTAATCCATTTCCAATATTTTCACATAATCCTTTGGTCCATCGACACAGAAGATATAATTCTTTACGATGATGGTCAATTTTAAACTTCAACGGTAATATAAACAACGCAACAGCCGAAATAAACATCAATATTCTCGCCGTTTTTTTTCAACGACAAAAACTTTCGATAAATTCAATGGACCAGACGGCTATGAACGAAGCTATCCGATTATGTGGTTCCCAAACTTAAAAGCGCTGCGCATTTTGCACACGGCAAAGCTGGGGCCACATAATCGGATAGCTTCGTTCATATCCGTCTGGTCCATTGAATTTATCGAAAGTTTTTGTCGTTGAAAAAAAACGGCGAGAATATTGATGTTTATTTCGGCTGTTGCGTTGTTTATATTACCGTTGAAGTTTAAAATTGACCATCATCGTGAAGAATTATATCTTCTGTGTCGATGGACCAAAGGATTATGTGAAAATATTGGAAATGGATTAAAATACATGGTGATTATGACGGTAGGGGTGCGGATTTTTTCCGGCGAACATTTTTATCTTGTGTATTATTATAGATGTTGAAATATGATTTTTTTTCAAAACGGCATATATTAAGATTTTTTGATATATATGATCAGTACATGTCCTGGGATTGACAAATATGCATTTTATTTGGATTTTAAAGGCGTTTTGAGCTCCAAACCCCAAGCGTCTGTGCTGCGCCGCGGTTTATGTGATAATTGAGAATAATTTTTATATATTTGGAAGGTGCGGATTTCTAGCCATGGCAATTGGAAAAATTATTGGAAAAAACAGGACAATTTCCTTATTCATATAAAATACAACATATGCATTAGTTGGATCATAACTTTACCATTTCAAATCAGGAAATTCTCTATAAAGATAGGTCTGTTGCAGCTTGTTTCTTTAATGAAATACTAGAAATGAAACACAAATGTACTGAAATACACACACTATTTTGTCTAACCTTAAATTGAAATATATTTTCCTTAAATGGGATGGGCGAAAAGTAGTTGAATAATTTTATTCACGTTTTGAGATATTCTGAATGTTATGAATGTTATCTTAAAAAGACACAACTTAGAGGCCAAAACGAAAATAGTTAAAGTGATTGAAACTGATAAACAATGTTGTTGATAAAAGATTTCGTTGTTATCTATTCATACTGTAAACATTGTCAAAAGAAAAATAATATGAGTAATA